GTTCCGAAAGGCCACATATTTCTGATGCATCAAGCATGCTCTAACCAGAGCATGACGCAATCATGTCAAAACCGCGAAGTCAGAAGCACGGGTGTAGCTTCTCTGAAGGCACCCGGGCGAAGATTCTCAACAGCCCGTGTTGAGTTACACCTAGCGCTACAGCTGTTGCAGTAGCCAAAATGCTTATGTGCAAAAGCGTATGCCGCGCCACAGCTCTGCGCAAAACTGGCCCATACAGCCAGTCAGCAGAGAATCTGCGTTCCGAATTGCCTGCACATGGAAAATCTCGGCTTGCAGTAACGGCGACTTTGGACCGATACATGAATGGCACAAATACACAACCGCCATTGGAGACGGAGCTGTACAGTACCGCTGTTTCAGGATACTAAGAACATACTTAACTCTCACCAGCAAAAGATCAGTTCGGCTCAATGCCGAACCTGCCACATGGACGCTCATCGAGTTGTTAGGCCATGAAAATTCAGTGGGACACAAGTGAAGCAGAAACCAGGGCTGCATGACCACTGGCCAGGCTGCAAACCCAGCAAACCTCCCGTCTTAGGAATGCGGCAGGCTCACAAAATTGCTACTTCAAGCCAAGCCGCCTTCAATCTCTACGGTCGCTGGCAGAATCCCAGGCCTTCAGATTCAGCATGCGATCACTGCAAACAGGCCACATGAAGGTGTGCCACTTCGAGAGCTCTGCCGGCTCCGATTTTGCCATACTTGCGCGAACATCGTGTCAAATCCCTTCTTGCCTCAAGCATCATGACTGCGCAGAAGCTGCTTTTGACTGCAAAATGAGCCTGCTAATTGGAAGTCAAGTTGAGACTCAGGCTCAGGGGCAGCCCTTGCTTCTTGAGGGGTTCAGCGCCTTGAGTCAAGTCGTTTGCCCGATCAGTTGGACATGCCCTTACTCGCTACAAGCAATTGTCAGGACCCAGCAGGCAGCGGCGAAGACTGGCCCGAGTAGAGCTTTTGCCTGTACAGGCAACTGAACCTGTCCCTGGTTCGCATTCGGACACTCCTCAGCCTTGATTGCATCAGAGTGGAATTCAGCCTTCATCCTGACAGTATTTCGAGTTTTGATAATATTGGCAAAAGTCTCCTGCGGGAACTCCTCAGCACATTCTTCTGGAACGGCTCCTTCTCCACTGCATCGTGGATGTCCTGCATGCTGAAGCTGGAAACCACACTTGAGCCCACGATGAGACCGCCTACTAGGATGTGAGGTCTGGTGCTACTAAGCTTGCCACATCTTGAATTCCGTTGCTGAGCAATTACACCGACGGCACTTCTAAGGAGCCGCCAGCTTGCTATCGCAACGTCATGAGAACGCTTGCGTCATGCACACCTCCTCAGACAATGTGCAACTTCAGTTGCAGTCATTCCCAAATTTCACCCTTTGCGGGAAACGACAAGTCGCCACGAAGATCGCCACAGAGTTGGGTCTGAAAAACAGCAGGGCTGCAGGAGCTGGCCTGTGTACATTTTGCAGACACTTGAAGCGAAAAGACGTTTCAACTACAACCCAACGCCTGGCTGCAAGGACTGAGCATCGGGTATTCACATTCGTGAGCAAACGCCGGCCTCCCTCGTGCCTCCACCCCACCCCCCAAGCTGCCCAGGCTACAGGCACGAGTGGGCATCTGCTGTCCTGTCCATTAGCCTGCTAAAGGGAATACCCACCTCTTTGGTGGCTGATGGGTAAGAAAAGCTAGGGAATCATGCCGTTTGCGGGGTTCCATCGTCAAACCCAACTGAGGGAGGATCACTCGTTTTGGGGACAAAGCTAAGGTACCTGGCAGCATTTCCCCAAGTAATCAAACAACCAAGATATAGTTTCAAGGGGTGCCACAAAAGCAACAAAAGGCAAATTGCAGCATTGCCCTGGCTGCAGGGATCCAAAACAGATCGGAACACTGCAACTTTCTTTTTCCAAACGAGTAAGATCAGCAAGAAATGTTGAAGCCATTGAAGCATGTGGCAATAATTCAACGGTGGAAACTAAGGCCACTCTTAAACGACTGGGGTTGGGGGCAGCAGCTTGGAATGCGGGCAATGACTGAAGACTCACCCAAAATCATGCGGGACATGTCGACATTGATGGCTTCTTTTCAGCTCGGTACTGTCAAAAGAAGCAAGAAGCTGCAAATCGGCAAATCGGCTGGGGGCGGAGGTTTGAGGCGTTTAGATCCAAGCACTCCGCATTAAGGAGTAGTTCCTGTCCCTGAAGTTGGACACACATCGCACATCGGGTTTTCAAAGTCTGGGGTCTGGCTTGGCTGCCTGGGTCTCCACGGATCCTGGCGCTGCTCCCACAATGTTGATTTTTTCCGTTTCATCCTTGCTCCCAGCCTCCCCTGAGTCCCACACACCTGACCGTCGAGGCGGCACTCGCACTAGCGATGAAATTACAACAGCTGGAGCTTTTCAATGTCTTCTAAGGATTCGGAGAGCGTAATTACTGCATTTGAAGGTCCTCGAGACGTGCGGCTCTTGTGATATTTTTGCAGTGTTTGGAACTCTTCAGAGATTGTCGGCTCTGCAGTCTCGAGCATTTTGAGGTTTCGTAAAGCTGCAGATACTGCAAATAGCACCTGTCGTTGCTCCTGTGTCAGATACTACGAATTTCAGAAGGTCGAGGCGTGAGTCGGGAAAAA